AGCTGGGTAGAGGTGGTGCTGTAAGTGTGGAATATTGCCTGTGCTTCACATGAGGTCACTATTTTACCTTACTGCTTGACTTTATTACAAGAGACCTCCCATGGAATAGGAGTAATCTGTTAATGTTTATAATTTAAAAACAAAGCATTAATAAAACTTAAAAACAAAAATCATATGGCCATATTGTAAAAGCAAAAGGAAATCCTAATTCTTTTGTATCTGTAAGAAAAAATGAGGAAAGTCACCATAACTTGGGTTGGACCCCCATGCTGAAATTATGACAGTAGATTAAGAAACCCCACAGACTGGGTAAGCACAGTGGAGTTTGTTATCTCTATTATTGGGGAAGAGTATCTACCATCAATTACGTCAAAGATCCATTTGATAGAGAAACTCTTTTTGCTTTGCTCTTTCACCCTCTTGATTAATAACCAGAGCTAGACATTCTTTCTTTCTTTCTTTCTTTCTTTCTTTCTTTCTTTCTTTCTTTCTCTTTTCTTTTCACATAGCTACTGTCAAGTTTTTGGTCTGAGGTCGGATTTGATCTCAGGTCCTGCTGATTTCAGGGCCGGTGCTCTATCGACTGCGCCACCTAGCTGCCCCCTAGATCTGTCTTCTAAAACATGTAATTTACTTCTCTCTTTTTATAGTCTTCCAAGTATAGTGCTTATAGTAAAAAATAATCTGGTTTCTCTTGATAATAGCAATATAAATGAAAAGGTTGATGATAATATTATACTCATGTTAGTTATTTACCCATCCATCCTTAATGCTTGGATTATCAATAGCCTGCTGGTTGGTCCCCCATCGTAAGTCTTTTCTTTGATCCAATTAATCCTCTACTGAGCTGTCAAAGTGGTCTACCTTAAGCACAGGTTTAACCATGCCAAACTCCTACTTAAAAAATTCCAGAGGCTGACTAACCCCTCTAAGATCAAATATGAAATTCTAAGTTTGAAATTCAAGGTCCGTCATTAACTCCACCTTTTCTAGCTTTCCAGTCTTCTTCAACTTCTCTTTCTCCAATGTGTACTTTGTGATCCAGTGACACTGGCCTTCTTGTTGTTCTGTGAACAAGATACCCCATCTCCACACTTTTGGCATTCTTACTGACTATTCTCCATGCCTGGATTGAACTTTCTCCTCATTTCTGCCTCCTGGCATTCCCTGGGTTCAAGTTCCAGTTCAAATCACACCTTCTAGAGTAGCCTATCCCAATTCCTCTTAATTCCAGTGGCTTTTCTCTATTATTTCCAATTTATCTTGTGCATATCTTGTTTGTACATAGTTTTTTTTTTATGTGTGTGTGTGTTGTCCTCTAGATTAGACTGTGAGCTCCTTGAGAGTAGTAACTGTCTTTTTATCTTTGTATCCTCAGCACTTAGCACAGTTCTTGACACACAGTGGGTGCTTAAACATGTTTATTGTCTATCTTGGGGGGGGCAGAAAAAAACAAATTTAATAATTAATCCACTTAGGATCCCTTCCCTGAAATATTTGAAGACTATGATAATTTTCCCCCTAAGATTCTTCTTTTCCAGGCTAAACATCCCATTTCTTTTATGTAATGTTCTTATGGGGCTGTTCCATGGTCCCTGACAGTTCTTCTTGCCCTATTGATATTTTCTAGCTTTTCAAAAATGTGAAGCACTGAGCTGTACAAAATATTTCATGAGTAGTAAGGACAGAATGCTACAGGTAAATAATGATAACATCTTTCATTAATGAAGCATAAGATTTCAATATTTATTGTTCTGGGGGTGGGATAAGGATTGAGGTGGTTTCCAGGCCATTCTGCTAAATCTTATTGAGAGCTTCGAGTCCAATAAATTCTCTCATCTGATACATGTTTTCATTTACCTAGAAAAGGTGGAGTTAATGAAGGACCTTGAATTTCAAACTTAGAATTTTATGTTTGATCTTAGAGGGGTTAGTCAGCCTCTGGAATTTTTTGAGTAGGAGTTTGGCATGGTTAAACCTGTGCTTAAGGTAGACCATTTTGACAGCTCATTCACCATCCTGAATATATCCCCTTGATTTTTTTTTCCAACCCAAGGATAGAACTTATGTTTCAATCTAATAGAGGTAGTATGATATAATGAACAAAGTACTGGTTGCTTTGACCTAAGAAAACTTAGGTCTGAGTGTAGTATCTGATACTTAGTAGTGGCATGACAGTTTGGAAGTAATTTTGCTTCCCTGTGCATTTTAGAGACAGAAAAAAATGTAAAATCAAAACAGTAATACTTGTATAATGTATCTCATAAGGTTTTGGTGAAGAACAGAGTTAATAAATTTTGAAGTGCTATTTAAGTGTGAGTTGTTTATTGTTGTTGTTATTCCTATTGTTGTTTAACATGGCTGTTTTTATGGAGTTTGGATAAAAATAGTTGGAGATTATATCACTCTCCTGATATTCATTTAAATTTAATGACCTGTAGATACTATACATGTGGATAATATGACTTTTGTAAATGAATACAAGTTTGTTATTAACTTATTTAAAAAAAAACTCACTGAAAGGATCTTTGAGAAGCTCTAGCCACAAACTGGATGACAATGATGACCATGTTTTTTATATTGTCAAGGTCTGGGTGCTTGAAAATTTTTAACGGCATGTACTTTAAGATTATGAGTATTTGGTATGACACCATCTCTTAATTTATCATTCTTAAAAATTTAAAGACAATGAGCATGCCAAATAGTTTGTCCTAATTCTATGTTTATGATTATTGTTGTTGATCTCATTTTTCTCCCAGTGGAGCTCAGATAGAAACAATCCTGTAACAAGTTGCTATCTTGATATTATTCTTTTATATTTATTATTCTGTGGACAATCAAGCAGGTGGATAAAGTGGGTGTTTTTTAGAGTTGAAAAAAGATATTAAGTAAGCTCTTATTATGTAAGCTCATCTACTGCACCAAGACTTCTGTAGCAGATAGAGTGACAGTAAGGATGATTAGTTCCCATATCTTCATTGATGGATAATTAGTAATCAAACAACCCTACAGTTAGACTCAAGAAATAAAGGATACAGAAGAAAAAAAACCTACCGCTGCCTTCATCTTTTTTGATGTTACTAACATTGTTGCTTTATAGTTCAGGAGAAACAGTCAGAGGAGCTGAGTTTGAATCTCTGCATATGATTAGAAAAGTCATTTGTCTTCTCTAGGGTTCCTTTATTTATAAAATGAAGAATTTTGATAATCTGGGCTTTGAGTTCACTTTCAGTTCCAAATCTGTGATGCACTAGTGATGCCTAGTGAATGTAGAAATGAGTGGTTAAAAGGGCACAGGGCATTATTGTTTGCATGTATGCATAATCAGAATATTTGAGAATGTATTTTTTCCAGACAACTCTTATACTACCTCTTGCATGACAGTTATTCAGACTGCCTTTTAAATGATCACATGATTAGTAACCCTCTTTAATAATAATAATAAAGCAATAAAAAATATGTACTTTTATATGACATACTTCTGTTGAGTGGTACACTTTATTGAGTTAGGTTCATAATAAATTTAAGTATTTATTTTAATTTCACTAAATTTTCCATTATTCCTTTTGTTGTCCATCTCATTCTCTTATCATATTCCCCTAGTATCTACTCTGTTTTTACTATATGTTCATTTTTTTCTTGTAAAATGACAAACATTCAAGTAGAACAGAGTTTATACTTCTTCCCTTTAGGTCTTTTTTTTTTTTAAATCTGCCTCAATAGAGAAGAAATGTCCATGAAATTAAGTACTTTTTCTTAAATACAAAAAAAAATGTAAAAAGGACCACCACCTAACAAAAATCTTTAGACAGAATTTTGCTTCCAAGCTAGTTTTCCCTCATGAATGTTCATACCAATTAATCATTAGGAATTAATAGAAAGTGTCTTATTTTTATGTCTCTTAATCTTTTGTGGACATTCTGACTCCTTACTTAGTACACACGAACCTGACAATATCTTTCTAAAAATACCCAAATAATAATATTCAATTCCTATCATCTAGTCATCTATAACCAAATATAGCTTATGTTAACCAAATTATAACTATTTTTAAAAGCTGTACGTTTTCTCTTGTCCGTTTAATATACCATATCATTCTTGAATTTAATTTAACAAAGTTCAGAATAAAGTGGTGAACTTTGTATTGAAAAGATGCCATCACAACTACTGAATCTTTGTTTTTACCATCTAAACGTTTTCTGAATAGTCTGACTTAGTTCCATGAGTCAATCTTTATTGAGGTGAAGTAGCTAGGTTTAATTTACATTTAATCCTCCATAGGGTCTGTAACATATAGTAGGTTGTTAATACTAGTTGGTGGATAGATAAAAGAAAGAATCTTCATAGAATTTTCTAATGAGCTGGCTATTTTTTTGCATGTTTATTAATAGGTAATGGGCAGTGGGAGTAGAAATTATTTCTAGCTCAGTGTTCTTATATCAAGTGCCAGGAAAAAATAGTTCTGCTGATAATTATTGGCTCAGTTACCAGTTCCTATGGAGGCTAGATCAGTATACAAGCCCCAACTTTGATTTTTTTTCAGTTAAGTTATGCACCAGTACGATACTGCTATAGCTTATCCTATGTTAACATTTTTCTCTAGGTTTTATTGTTGTTGTTGTTTTCTGTATGCATATCTTTTGACTAAATTGTAAGCTTCTTGAATATAACTACTGGTATTTATGCTCCCTTTGTATTCTCCATAATGCCACATGTATTTGAATGGTTGATTTCTTTCTGTCAGATTGTCCGAAGACCATTGTGACATTAGAAGTGGTATCTAGAACACTTGCTAAAATCACATCTTCTTTCTCCTTTGCCCTAGAAATTTAGCTCTTGTTGCCTTAATTCTTTGAAAGATATAACTGGATGCTCATAGTCTTACTTATATGTAATTTAAGTAAATAAAAAGATTATTCTTGGAATTTCAGAAAACAACAAAAGCAACTTAATGGTAAATCTTGTTTCTTAATTTTCTGTTCGTAATTTATTTTTTCTAGCTTCACTCAGATCAAGATAAGGGAGATGGATCACTCAAATATATTTTATCTGGAGATGGAGCAGGCACTCTTTTTATTATTGATGAGAAAACAGGTGACATTCATGCCACTAGGAGAATTGATAGGGAAGAAAAGGCCTTTTATACCCTCCGTGCCCAGGCTATTAACAGAAGAACTTTGAGGCCAGTGGAACCTGAGTCTGAGTTTGTCATCAAAATACATGACATTAATGACAATGAGCCAACATTTCCAGAGGAAATCTATACTGCCAGTGTTCCTGAAATGTCTGTTGTAGGTGAGTATTTATTTGATTTTTTAAAAAGCATGTTATGTAAAAAAGTATTGTCAAGAAAGAATTATCAAATAAAACATGATGATAAAAAATTTGTCAACATTCTAAGATAAATGTTTTATTCTCAGATTTCCTGAAGAATGAGAAAATGATCAAAACTTTATTACTTGAAAATTAGATATTATATTGAAGGGGATAATTTTTTTCTTTGCCTGCTTTGAAGTTAAGCAAATATAGTTACAATTACCGTAGAACTTTTTATAGATAAGGCAATCATTATCTACTTAACTCCTTTGTGAAATCATAGCCCCAATATATTATTACTATATATGGAAATATGCCTGATAGAACATAATAAAGAGATGATAGAGAATATTTCCTGCAAAATTTACTTGAGTTAATTAGATATTTGATAATACAGGTCTTGCTCTAGTATATAGTTTGGAACAGGGTTTTGTAACTTATTTCCTGATGGAGGTGGGTAAAATGCATAAAATCTGTTTCTTAGACTGATCTTTAAGTATTTGAGACCTTGAAGTTAGACAGACATTCAGAGCTATGGATTAGGGAAATGAGTTTTAGAGAAGCAGGATTGAAAAAAGGATTTATTTGAGATTTTTAAGTTTGCAAATTTTAAGAAGTTAGGAATTTCCTTACTAACAACTTTGTAGACCCCCAAAGCTAAGGACCTCTTATATGTATGAGTAGAAGTGTAAAAAAAACCTCATTTGGAACATACATATCCAACACTAATCATCATTCCTCAATATAGCAGAGTATTACGTAGTCTGAGACAGGTGTATTGAGAACATTTCCTCCCAAGAAATTCATTTAAGCTTATAAATCAAATACTGTAATTTTAGAATTTTCATTGCTGTAAATTAATTTATGAATTGCGTAGAAACTTCAAAGGATCCCCAAAATCTCTGAGCTGGAAGGTGTTTAAGGGCCTGTCTGGTGCTTCTTATGGTTGTTCTGAACAAGAATCCTCTGTACAACATACTCAATAAAAAGCCATGCCACCTTTCCTTAAAGACCTTTATGAGCCTAGTACCTGCAGATCCTGTTTCAAGTTAATATATGTATACATATATATGTGTGTATATATATATATATATATATATATATATATATATATATATATATATATATATGTGTGTGTGTGTGTGTGTGCGTGTGTGTGTGTATATGTGTGTGCACGTGCTTTTTTTTTGGGGGGGGGAAGGCAAGCAATGGGGCTAAGTGACTTGCCCAGGGTCACACAGCTAGTAAGTGTTATATGTCTGAGGCCAGATTTGAACTCAGGTCCTCCTGACTCCAAGTCCAGTGCTCTATCCACTGCACCACCCAGCTGCCCCGATGTCAGTATATTTTTAATTATTAGGAATTTTCCGGGGGCAGCTAGGTGGCATAGTGGATAGAGCACTGAACCTGGAGTCAGGAGGACCTGAGTTCAAATTTGGTCTCAGACACATGACACTTACTAGCTATATGACCTTAGGCAAGTCACTTAACCCTGATTGCCTCAAAAAAAAAAAGGAATTTTCCTTACATCATGCTTAAATTTTCCTCTGAGTATAGGAAAAGTAATATAGCTAGGAAGTGAGAAAAGCAGGATTTGAACACAGCCCTTACTTCTTGTTGGTCCAGTGTTCTTCCCAGTACATCATGCTATCATTACCATTTAAAATGAAGCACAAATCTGGTTTTAAAGAAATGGGTAAAACTGAATTTGACTTGATAATACTCTCAAAAGCATTTCCTTTAGAAGAAACCAATTGCTAATTTTTCTTGTGAGATGATGTCATTGGCCAGTTAAATAAATAAGATGATGTTTTTTACCAAATTGCCAAGTAAAGATTTATTTAAAAGGTCATTATGAAAGGCCCAGACACTTCAAATGTTGAATAAAAACTAGAGCTTTTGCTCCTCCTTGTGGTACTATGCAGAACTAAGCTGAATTTGGATACTTCAGGTACTTCTGTGGTACAAGTCACAGCTACTGATGCCGATGACCCTTCATATGGGAACAGTGCCAGAGTCATTTACAGCATACTCCAAGGACAACCATATTTCTCTGTGGAGCCTGAAACAGGTCAGGAACAAAACTATGCTTTTTTATTTATTATATAATCTTCGTGATCTTTATGGAGAGGAAAAAAAAATGAGAGAACAAGTACTAAAAATTAATTTGAACAGTGTAAGACAGGAAATATTATAGTGAATTACTGTCCTCAATGTTAAATAACTGTCAGAGATAGATAGATAGATAGATAGATAGATAGATAGATAGATAGATAGATAGATAGATATGTATTTTGCTTGGATATATTTAAAACTGAATTATGAAAATAACCTGTTGTAATATTTATAAAGCCCTTTGCAAACCTTAGAGCTATGTAAATGCTAGTTATTACTATCCTAATTAATGTTATTTTTAATTGCAAAGTGGAAATGGCTAGATAAAAATTATTTGCACTGAAATGGATTAGTTTTTAGTTTCAACACTATATAAAGTAGTCTTTTATGTCATCCATTCACATTAATGCTGTAGGATTACAAATGCTAGCAGTAAATAAAATGAAGGCCATGCTACAGAATTATACATATATTGAGAATGCAAATAACACAATAGCAATTTTTTTTTGTTTTTTTGTTGTTAAAGGCATCATCAGGACTGCTCTGCCAAACATGAACAGAGAAAACAGGGAGCAATACCAAGTTGTTATCCAGGCAAAAGACATGGGTGGCCAGATGGGTGGATTATCAGGGACTACTACAGTGAACATCACGCTGACTGATGTTAATGACAATCCACCTCGATTCTCCCAGAGTAAGCTGCCTTTAATAGTCCTGCATTATAAATGCTTTAGAATAAAAGAATTAAGAAATCTCCATCTGGTTTAATTTAAGAAAAATCTAGATTATAGGGTACTTGTGAATGAACGGCTTATGTACTGATTTATTCACTGTTATTAAACTAGAAAATTAAATGTTAGAGCCATGTTTCATTCAGAAAATAGTTTTATTCTGGTGGCATAGCCTCACAAATATATTGTGCTTTTTAGAATTGTCTGTGAAAATAGGATTGTACTCTAAAACCCAATTCTTTCAATTATTGAAGGATAATTTATTTTTTCATTAGGAAGTAAATCAGGTCATAGTTTTCCAGGAAAGACAAAGGGACATTTTACTCTCTACTTAAAAGTTTAATCAGGAAGACCCTAACTCTAGGGAGACCTAGCTCAAGGAAAATCTGTTTTGACATTGTAAAAGTGATATGCTTGAAATAGCTGATTAAAAACTTCCCAGTACAATCTGAATGGTATTTTAAACCACTATTTTGACAGTGTAAGTATGTCAAACAATAGGTATTATATTTTAACTTTTAGTAGGTGTTTGGGGGGATGTATAGCCATTAAAATGCTCCCTTTTCAGTAGCATCAACAAACTTCCAGTCTATTGTAGACACTTTGTATTATGTTAGGATAGCAAAGCCAGTACTACTCAATTTGGTACAATTTTCCTAACATTTTAACTTACTAGGTTAGTGTGCATGATTCACTGGTATTCCATTCCATGTCAAGAGGTCTAGAGGAAGGCCCCTAGTGTACTGGATTGAATAACTGAAAAATTTATAGGAGAAAATGAAAAAGAGTCACCCAGGATGAGAAGACCTGGAGAATTTATGGAAATGCCTATATGGATAGATCTGAATGAATGAATTGACATATTAATGAAGTTAATTAACATCATTATATGAAAACTAGATTCTCATAACTAGTGCTTTTACCCTCAGTGGTGTTTCTCAAGTGTTAAATGTGGGATTCCTCAGCAAAAATTACATTTAATATACAATATACTACTAACAAGAATATTTCTAATAAAATTATTAATTATAGATAAAGTTCCCTTAAGTGACCACTTACACAGAGGTCTTGGTATTAACTTTCAGGACTATGGAAATTTATAGATTTTTAATTAGAAACCATAGAATGAAAATTAAATGTACTTATTTTTTAAAAAACTGAGTACATATGTATAAAACTATGTTTATCATTCACCTACTCCTCTTTTTGACTCCACCACAATTATTTTTATCTCTTCCTTACTTTGGATATGTTACTCTCATTTACATTCACATATTTATAATTGTATGTGTTGGATAGAGATGCAGTTCAAGATATAAGGCTTATTTCATTTGTCGTTCCAACTACTGTTCAGATTTATTCTTGACATCCCTCTTGCCAAGGGTTTGTTGGTATAGCTGTAGTTCCAGTATAATGCATGCATCTGGCTTATCTGTTTATCTCTGCAAGTAATCAGGATTTGCTGAGTCAAATGAAGAAGAAAAGAGGTATTGATATTACCAGTAAGAACAATCCTTTATTTGTTATTACACATGTAAACTCAATCAGACACCTCCAAATAATCTTGCACACATATTTTCCTACTCCTGACTTCTCAGTTTGACCTTGTTGTCAGTAGCCTGTGAACAGAGTGGGTGATGGTACAGGATAGAAGGAGCTAATTTATTCATAAACATTCAAGTATAAACTATTATTTTAATTTTAAAAGGTATGATCTTGCTAACGAAATGTATTTTCTCTAGCAACATTCTCATACTTGTAGAAGAATTAGATTTTCCCCAACATTTACATACATGTAGAGTGAAGACAGTTCATGTACAAGAAAACCAGCTAAACAGAAAATGAGCAGATAAGGCCAGCCAAAATGCACGGAAAAGCCTGATTCAATAAGGTATTAAGAAGAATGGAGTTCAAAACAGAGTTGTATTTTTTTAATAACTGCTTTATTTATTGATGCAATCTTTATTTTTTGTTTTCATATCAGTAGCCATAGGAACCTTGCCTTAACCTCAGATTTAAGATTTTTCTCTCCCTTCTGATTTTTCATATATGCCACGGTATAAACTGACATAGGTATAATTGAGTAATAAATTAGAATTTGTTAATAATAATAGTAATAGCAACAATATTTATGCTATTACTAGTAATAAAAATTTGCATATTATTTCCAACTGTTAATTTCGTATAGATTGATTCTTTGATGCTCCTAATACCTATGTGAAGAAAGCAGAGTATAAATTTTATTTAAACATAAAAGTAAAGAGACCAGTGGTAAAGAGACCAATGCTGAAAAACATTCAATAGCTTTCTAAATATCACGAGTAAAAAGTAGTATAATTCAAACTAAAGCCCAAATCATTATATTCATTATTCTCTCTACTATTAGAAGGTGCTTCCATATCTTGCATTATCAAATGAAATAACATATTTGAAAGTGTTTTTTTAAATAATAAAGAACTTTACAGATAATTAAGGTGTTATCATATGCATTTATATGCACATAAACATATGGTTATTATAATTATTTTCTATTACATATAATTTTGCAATTTCTAAAAGTTTTTTTCACAAATATTATTTCATTTAGCTCAAGAATCTTTTCAAGAGGCCAGTTATTATCACTATTTTTTTTCAGTGACAAAACTGGAGTCCCAAAATGTGAAGTTCCTCGTGCAAGTTCACAGAGCTAAAATGCCAAACTACGTATTTGGAGTTCAAATTTATTGGCCTTTTCATTATAATGTACTGACATGCTATATAATATCTAACAACCTCACTGTGGAATTTAGTATAGGGTTTCATTTCTATAAATATGTACATGTGTATTTATATGTATATAAATGAACATGTAAAAAGGAGAAGGAAGATAGACAATCAAGCCAGATCACTGTATTTGGATTCTGAATACTTGAATTCAAATTTCACCTGATACTGACTACCTGTATAATCTTGGGCAAGACAAACTTTCCTGACCTTGATTTCTTCATCTGCAAAATGAGGGGCTTGGACAAATGATCTAAGGTTCTTTCTATTGTTAAACATTATGATTCTTGATTTGGTAGAAGGTAAAGGGTATCTGAAGACTTTTAGCTTTGTTTTTCTTCCTCATTCCTCTAAGAGGGCACAATGAAAATAATAGAATTTAATATAAGATTTTTTAGAGTGCATAATGATAGCTCAATTAAAATTCAATTAGAAACATTTTTTAAATGAAGTTGTCCTGGTTATGGAGGCTGTGGAAGAAGAATTTCCTGATTCAAAAGAGGTGAGTTAGTAGGAATTGAAGTTGAGAAACAAGAGGAGGTAATTCTGCATCAGGTAATAGATCTCTCAGAGGTAGATCATAACATACACTCTAGCTGAGAAAGTGAGTGCACCCATGGAGATCACTGGAGAGTGAAATGTTGACTTCATTGCTCAGCTTGTGGCTATGTGAAGCATCCACATCCTGTGGTGAGAATGTTCTCTGCTCATGATCCAAAATGCATTAGATGCTGAAGTTTAGCAAGAAGGCAAAGAATATTCTGATGAGGTGTGATGATAGGAAATTCACATTTTGTAATATGTCAATTCACCCTAAATTACACTTAGAAGTTCCTGACAATAAAATATGCCATTTGAGTCAAACATCTATGCCAATTAAGGTATGTGTATCAATTTTACATTTCTTTGAGAACAGATGAACACAATGTTCCCTAATATGATCAAAGGACCATAAATTAATCAAAAAGCATTTAATAAGTACCTACTTTGTATTAGGCACTGAGCTAGGCACTGACCATACAAAGACAAAAACTAAACAGCTTTTGATCTCAAGAAGCTTATATTCTATGGGAATAAAAACATAGGCATAAATAAACATGTTTAGCATGTGATGCAGTTAGATGGTACAGTGGATAGTGTTGCACTTGGAGTCAAGAAGACCTACGTTCAATCCCTGTCTCAGAACCTTGCTAACTGTATGGGCAAGTTGTTTAACCACTGTGAGCTACAGATTCCCTTTTATAGAATGGATTTAAAAACAGAATTGTAGTAGCACAGAGGAAACATGAGCTGGGCAGATCCAGTGTCATTTCCTTTCCAAATGTTCTAACAGACTACCTGTTCTCAACTAAACTCACATGAGACTGATCAACCACACTTTACCTTGAAACCAGCATCATGATGTCATCAGTCCTCTTTGAAAAGGAAGGATGAATTAACAACAGCAGCAGTGGTAACACCTGCCTCAGGATTGTTGTGAGGATCAAATGAGACAACAACAACAACAACACTTTGCAAACTTTGAAGTGCTACACAAATCATAGTTATTATTATGATCACTATCATTATTATAATTAGCAGCTAGTTGACTTAATGGGTAGAGTATCGTACTAAAGTCAAGAAAACCTGAGTTCAGATACCACTTCAGACACTTAATTGCTATGGGACCCTGAGTAATTATTTAAACACTACCTACCTCAGTTTCCTCATCTGTAAAATGAGGATCATAATAATAATATTTACCTCCCAATATCATGAGGATATGAGATATTTATAATTCACTTTAAAATGATATATAAATACTAATTTAGTATTACTGTTCTCACTGTAAGTTTGATGAAAAAGAGCACTGAATTGAACTAGGTGGCCTACAATTAATTTTGTGACAATAATTATTGCTATTAGAAGGTTGTATCGTCATTAATAGGATTATTAGTATCTTTCTAGCTGAGATTTTTAAACTTGTAGGTCTTCTACAAGGAGTACCCTCCCTAAGTGTTGAGAGGATGATAATTATTTATAATTTGCCATAATTTCAAAAGTTCATTTTTTGGAAGTATGGAGGGAATCAGAAACTGGTCTTTGAATGACACTTCTAACAGAAATTTTGTGACCTCAGGAAATTTGCATAATCTCTCTGAGCCTCAGTTTCCTTATCTGTAAAATGAATTATCTTCTACCTACAGAAATGTTAGAAAGA